GTAGGCGTGCCTTTCGACCGATTTGGCCCATTTTCAATACTAATCAGCGGGCAAATACTTCCGATGTTTCTACGAAATTTCCAATCGATAGCTTCATTTTTTCGGCCACAAGACGGACAGACGGACAGACGGACGGAGGGACATGTTTAAATCGATTCGAGAATTTGATGCTGATATATACATATACTTTGTCGTATCTCTGAAGCTTTCTTCTAGGCGTTGCAAACGTTTCGACAAAATGTATATATCTTCGCCCTTCGGTGATCGATATAATAAGAATTTTAAAGACTTAAGCAAAAAACCTTTGTTTAGCACAAAAAAAAAGTGTTGAAAAATTCATTTCTCAGATCAGAAATCGTGGCAACCAGGTGTTAAAGCCATAGAGACAATGAAATGAAAAATGAGAATGAAAGAAGAAAAAAAAACAAAAATATTTCACATGATAGTAAATTAATTACAACGTAATTAAGTTAAACGTAATTCATAAATGTATTATCTATGCCTTTAATTGCTCACTGCTTAATAAATTGCTTGCTTTTAATATAAATTTTAATAATTTTCTTATATAGTTTAGCAGCTTAATAACATCGAACACTAACTACAACCTTCAAAATTTCCGCAAATTCGTTAACTAATACATTATTATTAATGAAATATTCATAAGTGTTTAAAAATGTTCGTTTATTTAATATTGGTCGACAACAACAGCAAATAGATTGAATTATGTTATTCAGTATATGCCCCCCGCCCCTTTAAATCGCGTCTTTAAATGTTAAAGGAAAAGGAAGAATGAAGAACATATACACAACTAATTTTAAGCTACTGGTTTTTATGATCAAAAAACATATATATATATATATATATATATACATATATATTTTTGTATATATGTGTGTATATGAAATAAAAATCTTTGCCAATTTAACACTTGAATTCATTTTAATTTTGTAAAGACTTTAAGTAATCATAACCATAAAGGTAGAGATACTTTGAACAGAAATTTAATACGGTGGGAATTAACCGAACAAGACATCAGGATTCTTTTAACAAAAGGTAAAAAGCAAATAAAACAACAAGTAAAATAAGGAAGAAAGTTATAATCACGAACGAAGAACGAAACTTCTTCGATGGACGTTGCCTCAAAGCAATGTCATGTGATTGCCATAGTATTTTATTAAACAAGCGCCTCAACGCACGAGTAACCGAGTAGGTAAGAATCACGACTAATAAGTTAGTGAGTTGCGGATTCAAATCTCAGTGTGGCAGTCTTGGTCGCAGCTATAGTGAATGCTCCGTCGATGTAGGCATAATCCATTAGGCTGCGACCTCTTTATCTATTTTTCTCTTTCTTCACTTCTTTACGGACATCACCGCGTTACGGGATTAGCAGACATTCCATGAGTTTTTCACAATACCGCAATCCCTGTCTTGCTCTCCTTCCGCACTTGTTTTGCATGGTCACCGTGCTATACGTGTATAGGTAACTTCATCCCCTGAACTATTAGTGGATTTGAAAAACAAATATGAAAAAAAATCCACAGCGTTTCTGGATGACTTTGATAAGCTTTTAGTAAAATTTCCCCGTGCTCGACGCGCATTCGTCCTTTTTAAAGGGGCATTGTGTAGGACTTGAATAAATTTAATTAGAAAGAATAATTCGAATTAAGTTAATTTAGAATCTGGCAAACTCTTAAACCGAGCGATGGAGAACGTAGGCATGTATATGTATACCCGGCAATAATCAATTATGTTTTGCAAGTTATTCGATCTTGACAACCCGTCATACGATGCCTTATACATGTTAAGGAAAAGCACCATTCACTTAGCTGACTATCGCGCGCGAGTATACGTTTAACACAAAAATCAAGACTAAAAAGAAAATCTTTCAAAAAGAAGAGGAAAAAGTATTGGAAAAAGTCAAATAAAAAGAAATTCGAAAGTAGCAGCCACTTTACTTTAAAGTGCATTGTGTATATTTATTGTGCCTTGCAATATTTTTATATGAGATGAGTTGCAAAAACAAAACACTGCCCATCATACTATAAACTATAAAAAAAACTTCCAATATTGTTAAAGAAAAACAGGTTAACTAACTAAGTTTAATATCAAAAAAAAAAAAAAAATAAAAGAAGAAAAAATGGGCACAAACTTTCTTACATCTTTAAAGACTCTCACGTATACGATCTGTAATTTATAAACAACAAGTCGTTTACAAAAAAAACACAAAAAAAAAAAATACATTATGCACTATAGATTATTATAAATATTTATTGACTCGAATTTTATCAGAACAAAATTATTTGCAATAAATAAGTATTTAAATTATCAACACCTTGCTTGACTGAAATTGAAATAACATCACGTACATCATATAGCACATATTCGCTTACAAATAATTTTTAAATTAAAAAAAATAAATAAAAATACTAACGATATTAATAGTTATAGAAGGGCTACAGAGAACTCTTATTTAGGGTTAAGAGAGAACTTTTATTTTGCTTAGAACAAATCTTTTTCTATTCATCAAGGATCAAGCTTCATTCCATTCAACTTTATTTATTCATTTCAAATTTCTTGATTTGCCTTTGCAATATTATCATTATATGCTCAGTTTAAATGTGGTCATCAATTTTTTTTGTTTGGTACTTTATCACAACAACAACAAGTAACCAGGATTTTAGAAAGAAAACAATGATTTTTTCGATTACATCCTGAGAATATTTAGGACCAATGACATCATGACATGCCGATCTCGCATTACCTAACTGCAACGTAATTCTTCGCATAAAAATTGAACCTTTTTTGCATAAGTGCAACACGATATCGTCTTAGTCGGGAAAGCAAAGAATAGAAGAATTTCGTAGCAGACCTCTTTACAAAAAAGTTTCCTAACCTTTTTCAATTTTATAGGTGAACTTGTAAATCGACTTAGAGTTAGAAAAGCCAACGGACTGATCGGACGAAATTTCGTGGGAAAACAAGAACGATCAGACACGATTCCATTTTCTTCAAAAAAATGCTTCCCGTCAAATCAATTCCTTTATTCAGGCTAAATAATAGTAAACGATGCATCTTGTCTAGGTGCTAGTCCAATGCAAGGCATTCAAGTACTTGAAGGGAAAAAAAGGGAAATTAGGTTCAGTAAAACTATGCAGACATCCTCTCGGGTTATCATTATTATTAAGAACTTTAACGCTTTCTTTATTATGCGCAGCCGAGGTCTTAAAGAAATATTTGACGTAAATCAATAAATGCCTCCTCACTTTCGTGATTCAATGTCATCAAACATGTTTGAAACATTCATAATTCAAGCAATGCATCGCATTCATTAGCTGCATTCCATTTTCTTCGTTCACTTTGAAAATAATAAAATAACGAGACATTATGGATATAGGCATTGAAGCCAAGAGTTTTAAAGGAGTGTAAAGGTCTTAAGGGATCTTTGTTTTTTTCTCGAAAAAAGCATTTATACTCGAACGGCTTACCGGAAGAACTGATCGAGTACTTGATTAAATACTATAAAGGCTCGTCCACTGTAATCGTCTGTGACGCTTACATGTCTAACAATATCATGCCCAAGCCAGGAGTGAAATAAGGTGATCCAGTATAATCGAAGCTCCTGCATAGTCTTCCAAATAAGATCGAAGTTCGAATAGGCGATTCGAACTTCTACGCGTTAGCCTTTGCAGCTAACGACATGCTGCTCGCTTCAACTAAATCTGGTTTGCAATACATCTTTGTAAGTCAAAGTAAGACATTGTTTCCTAACCGATATTTTGAGTCAGTTCGATTTCAACAATTTATTAATTAGCAAACAGAACACTATAATGGGGACCGGACTTACCATAAAAATCGTTACACCACTCTAGAGTTATCCACATATCGTCTTTTCGAAATAAGGCATTATATGAGAAGTTGCCGAAAAGGTGATCCAATTCGAACCATTTTCAATAGCGATCGGCCTTGAGACAGAAAGCGTCGGCGTAGTAAAATTCATCAAAAGATTGCTGCAATATAACACGACAAAATGGACTGACGGACGGACAGACAAAAAAATATTTCTGGGCAGATTGGTGTAATAAGAGATAGGTCTATCTTAAGTCCTTCTGAATGTTGCCTACAACAACACTACACGTGGGATAGAGTACAAATATTACAAATAAATGTTAATTTGCTTATATGTCGTTTATGTAATATTTTGTTTATCTTCTTGCCCCCTTTCCTAGAGGTATTTCTAAAGGCAAACGGAAATTAAAAAATATCACTTGTCTTTTATATGGAAATTTGTTTCTTTATAACAACATTTAATATTGTAATCTTGTAATCAGGCATCAGGCTATGCTACGTAGATGTAAGTATCTTTCAATTGAAAAAATGCATAGAAATAACGTAACTCATATAATGCTTGCTTCTTAAGAATATATAATAGATATATAAATAAGCCTGCTCTGCTATATAGGCATTAAAAATAATAAACAAGAGTGCCCTACTATGTAAGCGTATGGTCGTAACATTCAAAATTTAGAAATATTATTGTAACAATAAAAATAATCACGGGTTAGTGAGATAGGAAGATAT